TGATTTCAGAAAGAAAGGAAGGGAGAGGGAGAGATAGAAATATCAATGATAAGAGAGAATCATTAATAGGCTGCCTCCTGTACATCCCCCACTGGAGATTGAGCCAGAAACTTGGGCATGAGCCCTTGGCCGGAATCGAACCTGGGACCCTTCTAATGCTCTATCCACTGAGCCAAACCGGCTAGGGCTCAAGCTGTGGCTTTAAATGCTTATAACTATTGTGCACATTTATATAACAAGAAGATGTGATTTTCAATGCCCACATATATTCAAAGAATACATTATAGATACCTCTTAATGGTGAACTAAGTTTGAATTTCTAGAGGAACCAAATAGGCTGAAAGAACTTTAAATAAGGTTTTCAACACAAACCACAGAGCAGCCCTGTAGTTTGGAGGCCACATGCCAGTGATGCAGCCACTATTCAATTACACAGGAGAATCAACCGATTGTGATTTTCACAGGAAGGATAAAGTGGAAACTAATGCACACTTACATGTGAAAAGGAAATTTCATTTTCAAGCACTTATAAGTATAATCCGTTGTTACCAAAAAGGACACAGAATATAATAGGTGCTCATCAAACACCTTATACTGACTGACATTTCCCATGTGAAATTTCATTGTAAGAGACCTGAATTATAAGGGACCAGCAATACTGTGAGGTTGTTAAGGAATGAACTGTGCACCAAGGTTAAATAGATTCACATCCCAGCTCTGCTACATACCAGCCAGGTAATGCACCCGTTCTGTGCCTTCATTTCCTCAGTTATTAAATGGAAATGAAAAACAGGACCAACCCATAGAGGTATTAGATAAATTAAGTGAGGTATATATGCACAGTATTTAGAATGGTGCCTAGAACATAGTAAACACTCAATAAATATTTTTTTCTCTTCTTTTCGCCTCCTCCCCCTCCTCATCCCCTCCTCCAATTTCTCTACTTTCTCTTCCTCTTCCGTTTTTCACATGAATAAGGGACAGGTATACTAACTGACTTCACTTATGTATTATTCTAAACTTAATACTATAAATATGCAACCGGTAACATTTCAGTTGGAGATATGTAATACTTAGAATGGTTCTTCTGAGTTTTTGTATTCAGCCACTTACAATAGTCAATTAATACTATATCTTATTAAGGGACCTGTGCTCATTAGATATCATTCTTTTTGTTCACATTTTTTTTCATGTTCTTTTCTTCAAGTTACCTACAGAGCTTAGAATGCCCACTCAACCCCGAAGGATGATAAAAACTTTTCAATCAAAGCACTAGTCTGAAACTTCCAGAGGCTCTGCCTAGACCTGTTCTAGAGGTAGCAGGAAACTCAATGCACAATGGGAGATTCACCAGGAGCGATTTGGCCGCCTGTAACTCAGTGTGGGCCCTGTCAATGGGAAACTCTGTGTGTGCTTTTGGGGTCTAGCTGCTCAGAGGTAATTTATGCTTTGATATCAAAGATGAAAGACAACTCCTGGAAAGTGAACGTATAATCGTGTCAGCTGTGGATTCCACGAAGAAAATCAGCTACTTTAACCACAGACATGTCCTAGAAACACTCAGAGCCAAGGTAGTCTCACACCTATGGATGAGATAGGTAAAGACAGTCATTGGTTTCTAGCTCCATATTGACTACTTTTCCAGAAAAGTGCAGACCTCTAACTTAAAAGACTTTTTTTCTTTATTTTAGTTGTTGATATTCTTACAGATGTTCCCTCCCTTATTCTCCTCCACCCAGTCCTCACTCTCCCTTCCCTCTGGCCATTACCACGCTGTTATCTGTATCTATGGGTTACGCCTGTATATGTTCTTTGGCTAAACTAGAAAGTTCAATCAAGAACTAAAAGGTGCTAAATGTCTTTGCAACAATATATAGCAATTTACAAAAATGTATTAGCTTGCATTAAAAAATTCTCAATAAATGTGAGAAAACATTTAAATCAGGCTTCCTTTTTATTATTAGCTCAATTTTGCAAAATGTTAAGCTGGAGGGTGATGGAGAAAACAATTCTGAGCTCTTTTTTTCAACACATTTAATTAACTAATGAAGTTAGATTTAAATTGGCAACTCTTCCTGCATCTCCATATTCCATAAAATAAAAAGCAATGCTAGCATGCTATCCTGATGGAGATGCTATAAAACATAATATGTGATTTTTATTAAACACTGTTTTGAAAGAAAATTTATCTTAATACTGATCAGGCTAGTCTGCTCTAACCGTATTTTAGGAAAACAATTTTATAAACAACCCTAGAGATGAAGAGAGTTCCAGTAAACAGACATCATTGAACTCTCATTGTGATATTTTAAAATTCTGATGGACACCTGCTGCATATCAATGATCTCAGTATCACCTGGAAATCCAAGTACACTGTTCTAGCAGAACAAAAAGTGAAAAAGGCCTCCATTTAAATGTTCGAACTTACTTAACTTTGTTTCTCACTGTCATAAGGTAGTTCTAATGTCCTGAATTAAAAACATCTCCAGTTTTATGATTCCTTGCTGCTTTAAACAATACTAAGGAATGTCTTTGGAATAATTGGCAATATTCTAGGAACCTATTTCTCAATGTGTGCTTGACAAAAAATGGAGTCTATGAGATGCTACTTATAAAAAGATTTTATGACCAAATGAAAAATGCTAGCTGCTCTATCTTTATTACCATCTCAGTTTCCTTAGAATACATGCTCTCTGAAAGCAAAGAACTTGTCTAAGTTTTGGTCTCTGCCATAGCCCCAAGCCTGCAACAATGCCTCCCCATGAGCAGTGTTCAGCAGGAATACATGAAAATGAATGAGCAAATGAACATTAAAGGCCCTGAACGATTCTCCAGCCCAAACCACTTTCATTTTTCTCTCACCCAGAGTACCTCACACCTATTTAAACATAGGAATCTTTTGTTTATTCTGATAGCATTATAGAATATTTTATTTAAAAAAGAAGAGAAAAGAGAGCATAGAGAGTATTAAAATACACAAGCATGTCACCACTACCCCTATGTAGATTTAAATGTTACAAATACAACAGAAGCCCCTTGGGAGCCCTCCTCGATATCAGTCATCTCATGCTACACATCTTCCTCAAATGAGGTACTCCCAACATTAGGATTTATACTCACATGGGATTTACTAACATCCCACTTTGAAAAATCCTGAACTGAGAGAATGCTAGAGTTCCTTTAAACACTAAGATTTAAATTTATTTCTCAATAGTATATAGTTTGCAAATGGTCAGCTGTAAAGCTGTCCATTTACTCCATTAATACAACAATGAGTAAAAAATAAATGAAATAACACTGATATAGAAGCAAGACAATGGACAACTGATATAATAATGACAAATATAAAGAGGATAAGTAGCTTACTTTGTATGTAAATAAACCGATATGAAATATCCTATATAATAAAAGGCTTATATGCAAATCAACCAAACAATGGAACGACTGGTCACTATGACACATACTGACCACCAGGAGGCAGACGCTCAATGCAGGAGCTGCCCCCTGGTGGTCAGTGCGCTCCCACAGGGGAAGCACTGCTCAGCCAGAAGGAGGGCTCAGTGCAGCAGCTATGGTGGGAGTCTCTCCTGCTTCTGGGGCAGCACGAAGCCATCAGTCAGACATCCCCCGAAGGCTCCTGGACTGCGAGAGGGTGCAGGCTGGGCAGAGGGATCCCCCGAGTGTACGGATTCCGTGCACCAGGCCTCTAGTAAATATATATATGTATATATATATATATATATATATATATATATATATATATATATTAGGTCACTGTACACATACTTAAGAAAACATAGATATATTTGCAACTTAACCTAGACTAAGTAATTTAGGAGCCGTCTGTATGGTTATAGAGAAAAATATCCTAACAATTTTGACATACTCACAAAATCACCTGGGGCTACACAAGTAAAACTGTGTCTAGATCAATATTACAGCAGGCCACATTTACATAATAGATGCTGCTAAGAAGAGGAGGAGACTCTTTTCCTGAGCTGAATAAACAGTTACTAATAAAGAATCTCTTTTAAGATCCAGTATACTATGATAAAGAAACACAATGAGCTAACAAAGTCTAATAAGGAAAAAACTATTTTTAAAATTTTAGTCAATATTTTTTACAGCCTTGTTTTGGTAAAATCTTTCTTCCTCAAATTTTCAAGTACCATTACAGATATTTCTAAATTATCTTAGACACACTTTAAGTATGCTCTAGATAAATGTTCTCTTGCATATTTAATTTTTGTGTTTTGCTTCAGATAAAAGATAAAAAGGCTTAACACAATATATTGCCACATTGTTTTATTTCTTAATTTTATTTAAAAAGGATATTGAATATTCAATTTAGTGAGAGAAAAGCACACACAATTGAACTTAATACCTGCTCTGGGTAGAAAATCACATACGCAATTAAATCAAGAATCAGAGCAGGGGTGGAGAACGGCCAGCCCGCAGGCTTTATAAGGCCCTCAAAATCATTTGGTCTGGCCCCACCGTGGCATTAGGGGTGAATTAATTAAATATTTGGCCAAATATAGCAGGCTAATTTTTAAGCTGATAATTTTGAATGGCCTGAGAATGATGTTATAAATATCCAAATGGCCCTTGGCAGAAAAAAAGGTTCCCCACGCCTGAACTGAGCAACAATGAATAGAAGATGTGCCGGGTGTATTAGCCTTAATCCTCTCCATCTTAATCCTTGCTATTATCCCAATACTACATACACCAAACACTGAAGCACAGAATACACAGTTTTCATTGGTCATTTGTGCCTTGTAGTTTTCATAGTAGAAGGACTGGAATTTCTTTCTACTCTTGAAACCATTTTACTTTTCAAGCCAACACATTAAATTCTTCTCTTGTAAAATACCAACAGAAAGTGAAATGTAACCTCACTCTTTATTTAGAAGCTCCAAAGTCCTTTCTTGGATTAAAATGAATGAAATGGATTAGTATCCAAAATATATGTATACAAGAGAAAAAGTGTTAATTCCTACCTCCATTATCTTTTAGATGCAGTGCTATCTTGGTATCATCTGAAAGAGAAACTCAAAGTCATTACAACAGAAAAACATTAAAAGTACATAAATCTCAGGAGCAATAATTGTACAGTAATGTTTTAATGATACTAATGTTTTAATGATAATGTGAATAGATTTTAACACTTTAGTAAGTTAATTTCTTGTTCAATGAGAGCAAGTCCTAGCTTACACGATGTAGTACTAAAATTTCTTCATGAAATCAAGACTTAATTGAGTATTATATAATTCTTAAGATCTGTGAGAAAAGTACATTGTTATAAATGTAACCTAAAATACATGTATTTTTAATTTTCAAAAATGAGTAATTGTAATAAGACTTTATAGTATGACTTTTTTTCTCATTAAAAATTAAGATCAAGAAAATTTCAAATTAATTGTAGTAATGATTTGCCAATATTTACAAATTTAACTTCAAAAATTAAATGCTTATTCATTGCTAATCAATATATCCAACTTCACATGAAAAATATCTTGACTTTAATGGACAAAATGTAGATCATACATTTTTATTTCAGTGGTTATATTTTATTTTATAGGGTAGGATTCAAATTGTAGGAATATTTCACAGGGTAGGATTCAAATTGGAAAAATATTTTCACAGGCTATATTCAACCTAAATAATTTGGATTAAAATAAATATAACATTGGTGTTAAATATCTAAATAAATGTGTTTAATAGTTGTCCTCTTCCTCACTATTACTTTATTCCAGTTAATTTTTGATATCCAAGTAAATTTCAATGAAAAGCAAAGGCTTCAAGTTTAATTCCCTATTCAAGTGAAAGCAAGGTTTAGTACAGTAAAGAACTGAGACCATTTTTCTCCCCTCAAAGCTTACTTTTGGCGAACTAGTCTCACATTTCTCTTTAGTGGTACCATCCAGAATATTCACAAACTTTGACTAATATTCCCCTCCCCCCAGTGAATTGTATCCGTGCATTAATGGGCTCTGGCATGTCTCTCTTCCCTGGCAGAGGCGATGTTTCCCACGGATAATTTCTGTGACATTTATAGTGCCCTCTACAGGGTATGGACCAACATATTATATTGATTGTGTTCAGGCGAATATTAGAATTGCAGATGAGTAGAATTACGTATTGTTCAGAATCCAAAGTCAATGCATATTTTATATAAATTTGCCTTCATATCCTGTGTCTAAAATGTGGAATTCAGTTACTTCAAAGTTTAGCAATACGAGAGGAAGTCTATACTTCTTTTCTAGGGAGGACAAGTAAGCCACGATTGAAAGGCAAAGTACATTAAAAGAATCCCAGCACATATTTTCATTCCATAATAATTTTGTCTTTTCCCCTTTAGAAATCCGGTTTGCTAAAAAAATAAAATAAAAATTCCCTCTAGAGAACAACTCCAGTCCATGTCACACCCTGAGTTTGCACCTTCTGTGGGCAGGCTGGTGGGCGGCTGGGACGTTGCTGCTCTTCTGGTTGTTGTTAAGAACCTAAATAGTACAGTAGTTGCTTGCATGGTTGTGGTGGTCTGAGAAGAACTTTCCACTGGCTCCACAGTCTCACACATCTTCTCTTTTGACTAATAAGAGAAACAAATGGGAAAGCAATTTAAGAGTGATCATATGTTATTTAAAATTGCATCTAAGAAATTGGTCTGTAAATCACAAAAGACTCTCGAATCAACATGAGGGCTTCACTTTTTTACAGGACTGTATTTAGGGATTTGTTAATTTACAAAGTATGTAAAATAGACGAGAGAATAAATTGGATGTAAAAAAGCACTTCCATCTTTGGAAATTTGAATTTCATCATTTTCTGCTGATAACCTTTCTGTTTACATAATACTGCTGTTAATCTTGCTCTAAATTTTATATCAGTATATGTGTAAAAGACATGATGTCAAAAAGGAAAAGGTTATACAAGAAGAAAAACATGTGCATGAAGATAAGGTTTAAAACATACTTAGGTATGTGAAGAAAAATGCATTCTCTCCATATCAAACTGATAATGACAAATTCTAAAAATTTGATGACTGCTCCATACTACTACTATTTTAACAAGAATCCCCCACAGATTGAATGGGTATTTAAAATGTGTTTCCCTTTGTGAAATATTGACACCACTCATGTGAATGATTGAGCAACCCTCATTTATCACTTAACCTATCATTTCCCTAGCAGAGCTTTACTGGGGACACCAGGGAAAGGTACATGCTGTATTTTTCACTTATAGTCTATGAAAATAAATCCTATACCAGTGATGGCGAACCTATGACACGCGTGTCAGAGGTGACATGTGAACTCATTTTTTTGGTTGATTTTTCTTTGTTAAATGGCATTTAAATATATATAATAAATATCAAAAATATCTCCATATCCTGGACCTTTTCTGCAGTTGAAAATACTTTACTTCTGAAATAATAACTCCAGTTACTCTACTTTCAGCTAATCTATGTACCTGTTCACTCAAATTCTTCTTATCCTGTGATTACATAGAGTTATTGTCTTCCTTTATGTATTCTTTTTTTTTCTATCACATCAACTTCTTTTTCTTTGTTTTTATATATTTTATTGATTTTTTTACAGAGAGGAAGGGAGAGGAATAGAGAGCTAGAAACATTGATGAGAGAGAAATATCGATCAGCTGCCTCCTGCACACTCCCCACTGGGGATGTGCCCACAACCGAGGTACATGCCCTTGACTGGAATCGAACCTGGGACCCTTGAGTCTGCAGGCTGACACTCCATCCACTGAGCTAAACCTGCCGGGGCATCATCAACTTCTTTTTCAATAATATCATGCATCTTTACCTTATTCTTCTTTCCACATCACCTTTACAGAAAATCATCAATACTGAATATCATTGGTGTTGTTGTTTTTAAAGAAATCTATCTTTTCCTTGACTGCTCAGGCACAGCCGGAGGAAAACCACACAGCCCCCCACAGGGAGGTCTGAGAACTCACCTCTTGTATCCTCAACAGTGTCTTTTAGGCTGCTTGGCAACAATGGCCTGCTTTGCTAACCTCTTCTCCCATTACCCTAAGTATAAATTTCAAACCCTCTTCAACCTACTTAAAAACCCCAGTCCCATAATGCTTCTCCCATTTTTATCTCATGGACTCATCTTTTATTTCTTAAATAAAAGAGCCGCCAGCAAGAATTCCTTTTCTTTACAAATCAGCATTCTTCCTTGAAGTAGCTCTTTGACAGGATTTGCTTAACTGATAAGAAAAATGGTGTAGCTGTTCATTGTTTTTATTCAAAATTCATACCCTAAAACTTAAAGGGTGAAGAAACATGATTTTCTTTGTACATAGATTTCTTTTACAGAATATCTTTATGTGACCCTGAAATGGCGATGTAAGTGCAATCCACTAGAAAACTGTTGAACAGGTTCAAATTGCCTCTGCAACTGTGCAAGTTTATATGAATTGCTTCATTGCATCATTGTCTCCATCACGTTCGCCTGGGAGTTACTGTTTCTACGTTATATCATTTTTAACTTATATCAGTCCAATTTGCTGCAATCAATCTTTTCCTTCATACCACTGGCTTTATAATTTGAGTGGAAAAATATGAAAAATGACTTCCTAGATCTTAGAAAAGCAGCAAGCAAGTGTTTAAGAGAACTATCCTTTGCTCATAGAAATTCAAATCCTGGTTCTATTATTCCCTATCCACATACCCAACTCTGGATACCCTCACTACATCCCTCCCCACCGTTTCCCCTCACCCCTCCCTCTTCTCCTCTTGGTACTATGGGGGCAATAACAGCTCCTACCTCACAGAATGGGTATAAGAATAAATTGAGAAAATACACGCAAAGATTTACAAGTAAAACCCCAAGTCTGGTACCTATAAGGGACTCAATAACTGCTGTCTACTTTTACCAAATGAGAAAGCATTTTCATTAAGTTATAGCATCTATCTATGACAGCGTGTTTCCCTGAATCTTGTCATAATAAAGAACATGTGTACCTCTTCAGGGCATCCACTGTCCACCCAGTCCTGGCGATGACGATCAAAGCCACTGGAACATCTTCAGAGAAGACCACATTGCAGTTCAGAAAAAGAAGTAAGGGTGCAGAGTGAGGAGCAAGAATGAAAAGGAAAAGATCGGTAAGTAGGTAATTCTCAAATTTTCAGTTTAGCACAACAGGCTTTCTTCTGCAGACCTGTTGATTGGAGCAGCCATAAAGTATTAACAGTGTTCTGGGGAACAACTCACTCCCAGGTGGTCATCCGATTGGGTCAAACATGGCTACAAATGACCCCCCTGAGGCCCACTCCACTGTGCAGGACACTGGGCTCCCAACCCAAAGGTAAGACCAGTTGCTATTCTGAGAAGCTGGTTTTCCTCATTTCTGTTCTCATCATCCAAACAAGTGGATATAGAAAAAATATTTTGCAGGTGTCATTTTTTTCAGAATATCAGATCTTTTTATTTGTTTTTTTTTAAGTTTTAAAATTTGAGACTCATAGTCATACAAACGCTACTGTATTGTAAAGGGTTAACGCATCAGGTCCGGGGTGTTCAACCCACACATTCCAAAGAAATAACCGGCCCTTGGGAGATAAAGCCTGTGGACTATCCTGTTGGATAAATGCAAGATAGTTTATGCTAACAAGATGATTTGTGGTGAATGTCTGTTTTATTCACCTGGAGCGCTGGGCCATGCTCTATCAGCTTGAACTCTGTGGGGGCTGAAGACTAGAGATAAGGTTAGTGGAGAATTTCATACCTACGTGACTGACCCTCCATAACAACCCTGGGCACCAAGACTTGGATGAGTTTCCTCAGTTGGCAGAACATGCTGTGTGTTCACAAACTGTTGCTGGGGGAAGAAGTGCTGCCTGTAACGGCTGCACTGGAAGAGGACAACCGGAAGCTTCTCGTCTGGACTCTGCCCTCAGTGCCTTTCGCCTTTGCTGATTTTCATCTCTATCCTTTGGCTATAGAAAATGGCAGCCTGGGGTATAACACCTTTTCTGAGTTCTGTGAGTCCTTCTACTGAGTCATTCAATCTGAGTGTGTTCTTGGGAATCCCTAACACTATGATTAGGTCATATCTAAAATGGCCACTTGAGCAAGCACTGGGCTAGTAAGATTTTGTTCACTCTTTCTTCCTCGACTGGAATAATTTTCTGCCCTCTAGCTACAGCCCATTGATTTTTTTTTTTTTTAAAGCAACACAAAAATTACTCTCCAGAGCCCATTCTGATAAAGTTTCATAATTGCTATTGATCACATCTTACTTTACTATGTAACTTTTCTTCTTTATACAAAATGTCATGTGCTTATTTACCAAACTTGATTGTTAACATTTTAAAGTTATGGCCAGTGTCATATATGATCATACCTAGTATGGCTGACACATGATTTTATTTTCTTATTAGAAATTCAAAGTATTTTTGTCAGTTTATTAAAATTAAAGACTTAAATTGCTCCTGAATTTAATATCTATATAGTAATTTACATACAATATATATGAATCCATCTAATAAATGTTAACCTAAAGATATTTAAATATTTTTAAAAAATAAATGAAGACTATTCAACTTTTGTCTTAAATTTCCTTATAGGGCTTATAGTGCTACTATTCTTTCCCACTTGTTTTGCAGTGGGTCCACATGATGACTTTTTCTAAGAATCTTTGCCAGAGATTATGCACTATGGCATGAATGAGCATAATTTAATTCAAGTGGAATGTGAAAACAACTCTACTGTCAACATAAAAAAAACACACCATATCTATCATTCTGCCCAGACATGATTCATTGGAGCTCAGCTATTTTATGCCTACCATCTGTGTTGAATGAGAATAAGTGTGGAATAAATATCAGTGTGTGACCCGGCACGCTAACTTTGAGAATCCCCAGTTGGTCAAGGCCATCTCTGGTTATGCAAAGAAAATCTAACAGTTAGAGTCTATTTAATTCCACTTGAGTTAGATGGTTGTTCCCTCCTATTCTTTTTGCCTGTCAAGTTTGTTTAAGTACTGAAAAATATACATACTGACATTGTGTTTTGCAAGGTGGGGATAGATTGATTTTTTACAATAACAATATTTTGGGGAGCCACCTGACTACAAATAATTAAGTGGAATAGATCACTTTAAAATGAAGTTTGTTTTTACATACTGTATGGCAAATGTATTCAAAGACAATGGCAAATAACAACTTTTACCTTATTTTATTACAAGATTGTAGTAAATCTTAAATTTATAAGTCAACTGAAATTTTATCTTAAGTAATTAGTTCTTTAAATGGTTAAATCAATCCCAGGGAAAAGTACAGAAGCACTGCATTTTTGCTTGATTTATTAGATGGTCCCCCCAGTTATATATGTGAAATTAGGTTCTACTGAAAATATGTGATTCAATTAAGCAATTTATTCATTTATTCACAATTGATTCTCTATTAATTGATCTGCAGTTTACTAATTGCTAGGGTAGGAAGGATTAACAATGGCAAACACCAATAAGATTTGGTTTGAAAAGCTCATGCATTCTGTAGCTTACAGCGCCTTAGAAATTAACACAACTGCCGCAGCCGATCTGGCTCCGTGGATAGAGCTTAGGCCCATGGACTAAAAGGTCTCAGGTTTGATTTGGTCAAGGTCACATAACCAATGGATCTCTCGATCTCTCTCTCTCTCTCTCTCTCTCTCTCTCTCTCTCTCTCTCTCTCTCCCTTCCTTCCACACTCTCTAAAAATCTTCCTTGGGTAAAGATTAACAACAATAACAAATATCTGCCGAAACCGGTTTGGCTCAGTGGATAGAGCGTCGGCCTGCGGACTGAGGGGTCCCAGGTTCGATTCCGGTCAAGGGCATGTACCTGGGTTGCGGGCACATCCCCAGTAGGAGATGTGCAGGAGGCGGCTGATCGATGTTTCTCTCTCATTGATGTTTCTGACTCTCTATCTCTCTCCCTTCCTCTATGTAAAAAATCAATAAAATATATTTTAAAAAAAACATAATAACAAATATTAACACAACTGAATGCTGCTTTTTAAGCATTTTTTATAACCTAATATAATCTAAATAGCACCCAAAAGCAATTATAAACAAAAGAGTGTGTGTATGCTATAAATTATTAAGAAAAACCACCTTCATGTTATTTCTGAATTCAAAACAAACCAAAAATCACTTTTGAGATCAACTTCCTCTCTCCACTGAGCTGCTGTGTTGTCGTTTTTTCTAAAACACAGAGACATTAACAATGCCATGCTCCGGCATATTGATTTCCAGACATTTAAAAAATATACTTTTATTGATTTCAGAGAGGAAAGGAAAAGGAGAGAGAGGTAGAAACATCAATGATGAGAGAGAATCACTGATCAGCTGCCTCCCACATGCCCCCAACTGGGGATTGAGCTCACAACCAGAGCATGTATCCTGACCAGGAATCGAACCGTGACCTTCTGTTTCATACGTTGATACTCGACCACTGAGCCACACCAGCAAAGCAATTTCCAGACATTTTTAACACTGTTAGCAAACAGACTATTCTACATTGTAATCATCTAGTATTCCTGTTACACTAAATTCCTGGGTACATCTGTATAAGAAAGATTCTCTGATGAATTTGGGTTCAGCAATTTTCATTGTAAATAGTCATCCCACATAATCCTTACCACACTGAAATCTGAGAACCACTGACATCCCATCCTATATGTCCCCATAGCAGGCCCCTTCCCACTCCTCCGCCCATCACTGCAACCTGTTCTTATGCCCCTTAGTGCCCCTCCCTGTATGTGCTGTGCTCTTTGAGGTCTCTGACTTTGAACCTGCTGTTACTTGTGCCTAGAATACCTTCCCTGTTTCTAATCAGTAAACCCAATTGAACTGAAGCTTATCTACTCCAAGAAGCGTCTACTTTCTTCCCATCCAGAAGGGTTAGCAACCCTTTCTCAGTGCCCTCAATATCAACCCAATGTCAAGTGCTAGTATCTATTACACTATAATTGGTTGTGTTCGAGCTTATCTTAACAAGACCTCGAGGAGAACATGGTTCAGTGAGGATTTGGAGTTCAGCTGCTTGAGCCGGAATTTTGGCTTGGGCACAAAACAGGTGTGTGATCTTAGGGAGTTATGTTTCCTATCTAATCTTGTTTCCTCATCTGCAAAATGAGGTGGGAGAGGTTATGTAAAGATTAAAGTTAGAGCTTGCTCCATAGTCAGCATTTAGTCAGTAGCAGCTGTTGTTCATGCCTCGGTCATGACTTTGCAGTGTACATGTGGTAAGGTCGACAATTGTTGAAAATGAATCAGTGAGATTTCCATGATATGAGCAGTATTTTGGAAAATGTTTAGGAATTAATTGTGTATCATATTAATGTGAAATATACTTTATCATCATATCTGGGAATCTATAATAATAAAAGGGTAATATACTAATTAGACCGGACATCATTCCTGATGAAACCAGGACCTGAGGGAAGCCCGGGTCCCGGGTGCCAGAGGGAAGCCGGTGCTGGCAGCCGGGGGAAGGAAGGCCTACTCTCTTGCATGAATTTCATGCATCGAGCCTCTAGTTAGTATTATAAAATCTTATGAGGGAATATCAAAGTTGCTCTCAAATATGGGACAAATCTTTATTCAATATTTATAAATAAGGCAGAGATTATATGGTCTTGTAAATATTTCTCAAAAACTGACTTAAATATGTTTATTTAATACATATTTAACTTTACACATCTATTTAATATGTATCCTAACTTTGATGTTTCTAATGTTTTTTGGAAGAAGTTATTTCCTTCTTCTCACTCTTACCTAATTCCAAAACAAATGGATAGAGAGCTATACTTCAAATTAATTGTACTATTCTCCTCTCACTTTCAATGGGATGTTGATTTCAAAGGCCTCCAGGGACCATGTTAAGCGAACCCTATTAAATTAGGCAGCCTAGAAAACAAACAATAGCTTGAAGTATCTATCCAGTCAAGAGATTAAAGTGTAAACCTCTTCAAATCTCTAACATATCTGTTTTGTAGAAAGAATTTCAGAAATGACATTTTATAAGGGTAATATATTCA